AAAAAGATAATTCCCGTTTCTAGACCCTATCCTTTTCAGTCTAGGGAATATTTATTTTCAAATTTAATAAACTTCTATTGAAATTTTTCTATTCGATATGATATGATTTGTGAAGAGGATTTCGTCAAATATATTCCTTCAAAAAGAAAAACGTTAATTAATCGAGGATGTGACCGAAGATAATATAAAAATAAGGGAAAACTAATTACCTTTCCAGGTGGCATAATTCGCAAAGAATCTTGTATTCACTTTTGTTTAGAATTGATTTTTTCTTTACTTGCGTCAAGTATAATCTTTGATGGCTAATGAAGTCAATATGATTTGGTGGACGACTCCTATAGAGTTGCTTCAACTGATATTCAGTAGTCTTGGTTTAATCAGTAGCATTTTATTCATATCCATTGTACTTACTCGACATGAACTTCGACAGAATATGGCTTTACTACTTGCAGCCAATTTGCATATTGGTGGATTAATATTTTGTGTTCCATTCATCATTCAAGTTTACTATATGCTATTTAACTATGTACCAGACAAGTTTTGTTCGCTTCGAAGCTATTTCTACGTAGGTGGCCTTGTTTATACATTTCAGACAACCATGCTTCAAACTATACATCGACTCTTCGTTACTGTATTCGCTCATCGTCGGCATTTACGAAAACGTTGGCTTTATTTCTTCATAGCTTTGATACAATCTATCATTTCCATGTTGATGTTATTGCCTGCGTTATTTGAAGGTCATTTTCCATATATACCCGATGGGAAAATGTGCTATATAGCTTTCAATGATCTTTTTGGTGTTTTATATCCATCAGCATGTTTCTATTTTGGTCCATTAATTATTCAATTAATATTGTCTTATTGGATTCTTCAATATGTTTCTCGTGAAACTCAAGCAGGCCGTGCACAAATCAACTTTAGAAGACGTGTTGCGAAAGAGCGACGAATTTTAATTCGCCTATTCATCCCAGTTCTTCTCATAATCGGTGTTGGACTCATTTATTTCGTATTTGTTTTTGGAACATGGATTAGTAGTTCATCATGGCAAATTCCACCCTATGCTCTTCATCTCAGTTTATTAGGCATTTCTGTTGCAATTGGACTAGGCATGTTGATTAATATCATTATACACAAAAAAATTCGGAAAATTATTTCTTCGACTTTATGTCGTTTGTTGATGATTCATCGACAAAATACTGTTCACATCATTCGGCAACAGCATGCGACAATCAATCAAGGAACTGGAACAAGAACAATTTATTAAAATATGCAAACCTTTTTGATCATAAACATTCGTTGACATATATCATCGTAGAAATTTTTCTAGGAACGTTGATATTTCTTTCAATAGTTATTTTTTGTTCTTTCTCATCGTTGTAGTTAATAAAGATCTTATTAGAGAAAAAAAGAACACAATTGATTATTATATTCTGTACATGAGAAGATATTTAATGAATTTAATTCTATAAGAAAAATAAAAGAAGATTAAATGGACAATTACTCGAGAAAATAATCTTACAGATGGGTGATTAGATTCATCCGAGATTATTTCATTAATAAAATGTTTAAATCACGTTCGTATCGTAAACACAGCAAGAGAGAGAAATATTCTGTAAGATGTTTATTTTCAAGATAATAATATTGAAAAATTGAATGAATCTAATTTTTGCTTTGTATTGTATTTTAATTTTCAACTAAAAATAATTCGATGCTAAAAGGAAACGTACGACAGAATATCACAACTATCAAATGCAAGGTGCCAATAAATTGAAACTATCTTGAAGATGTGGGTGTGAGTGTAGGTATTATACTTTCCTTATATCCACACCCACACCCTAATCAATGGTTTAGATTTAATTTCTGGTATTTTTTGAATACTAGATTTAATTAAATTTTGTATAAAGTTAGATATAATTGAGTTCAAAGTTGATTTCATATATATTAGAGAAAAACCATAATTAGTAAAAAAACATTTGTATGATTATAAATGTAAAAAGATTTATTTATTGTTAATGACATAGCTGAATAATAATTATTGTACGTTGTTTTGAGCATTTAACATTGTATAGTAAATTCCACCTTTTTGTACTAGTTCAGTATGAGTACCACTTTCAACTATACGACCCATTTCTAGTACATGTATTAAATCACATGAACGTACTGTTGAAAGACGATGTGCAATAATAAGTGATGTTCGACTAGGATCTTCTGTTTGAGCTTGTTCAAGAGTTTCTTGTACTATCTTCAATTATTTGAAAATTTTAAGTTATAAATATAGAAAAGAAAATAAACTTACTTGTTCATTGTATGGGTCCATAGCACTTGTAGCTTCATCTAATAATAATATTTTAGGCCGACGAATAAGAACTCGAGCAATAGCAATACGTTGTTTTTCACCACCTGATAAAAAACTACCTTTTACTCCAACTT